CTCATCGTAAGAACGATGCGCTTTTGTGCAAAAGAGCGTCTACATTGGTGGGACGCTTTTGCGCAAAAGCAGAAGCCTGGAACCATTCTGAAGAGGGCAAAAGGGCACCAGCCCTTTCCGGAGGCGGGGGCTGGAGCTCCTTTGAGACACATGCTTAACGGGATCTCCCCAGACAGCCGTTTCTCTCCTGCTGCATGCTTTAGGACCTCTTGCAGGGACTGACAGCTCTAGCAGTTCTATTTGTGGTTGCCCGCTGCCTTATTGGACACCACTGCCTTCTGCCTTTGGCTGGTTTTTTTATCTCTGCTTGTTTGTTGTGCCATGAAGCCAGGGATGGCCTTGTGCCTGCTCTGGCCCCTTCTGGCCATTTTGAAGTGGCTGCAGCTGCTGCTCCAGGCTGTTTCACTTCTCCTTCAGGACTTTGAGGCGCAGGTCACTCTGGACTCCCTCACCAGGGAGGCCATGGTGTCCCCGTGCCATCCCCACCCCACCACGGAGAAGTCCTTGTGGAGACTGGACACCAGTACTGACTGGTGGGACCGGCTGATCCTGGGGCAATGGGATGACCAGCAATGGCTCCGGAACTTTCACATGCGAAAGCAGAGGTTCCCGGAGCTATGTGCCTGGCTTGCCCCTGCGCTCCAGAGAAACACCACCAGGCTGTGGGCACTAATCCCAGTGGACAAGAGGGTCGCCATTGCACTCTGGAAGCTGGCCACCTCAGATAGCTACCGATCAGTGGCAAACCAGTTCGGGGTGGGCAGATCGACCGTCATTGCCATCCTCATGCAGGTAAGTCCCCCTGCCCGGGGGAAGAGAAGAGTCCAGGCTGGGGGCGATGAAGTGGGGAAGCCCCGTCACCCAGGGGCTTGTGCCGTCCCTCCCTCACATAGGCCTGCTGGTAGGAGGGGGGGGCCTGCAGGGCCCTGGCATATTTGGGGGGAGAGGGAATCAGAGGGGAGCAGGAACCCCTCAAGAGCTTATGTGCCCACCCAGTCTCATTCTGTGTGTTTCCTGTGTTTCTGTGTGCCCTTCTGCAGGTTGTCAGAGCCATCACAGACATCCTGCTCAAGAGGGTCATCTGCCTGCGGGATGTGGACACAACCGTGGCTGGCCTCGCTGCCCTGGGGTTCCCCAACTGCAGGGGGCCATGGATTGGACCCACATCCCCATCCAGCCACCAGAGCATCAAGCGGCCCACTTGGTCAATAGGAAGGGGTACTTCTCAATGGTGCTCCAAGCCCTTGTGGACCACTGTGTCCGCTTCACGGACATATATGTGGAGAGGTTGGGCAGGGCACATGATGCCCGCATCCTCCGAAACGCCAGCCTGTTTTGCAGGCCGGAGGTGGGCACTTTCTTCCCCCAGTGGGAATTTTCTGTCGGGGATGTGCCAATGCCCATGTGTCTTGTGGGGGACATGGCCTACCCCTTGCTGCCCTGGCTAATGCAGCCCTACACGGGGTGGATGGAGCACAACCGGGCACGGTTCAACAACTGCCTCAACCGGGCCCGCAACCAAGTAGAGTGCGCTTTGGGGCATCTGAAAGCCCAGTTCCGCTGTTTGCTCACCTCTCTGGAGATGGGTGAGCGGAACGTCCCTGAGGTAGTGGCTGCATGCTCCACAATCTTGTGGAGCAGAAGGGGGAGGCCTTCCTCCTGGCATGGATGGCAGGCGAGGACCAGGCCTTCGAACAGCCCCGCACAGGTGCTTCCGCTAGGCGCACCACGATGGGGTGTGCGTCCAGGAGGCCCTGACAGAGATGTTCTCCCAGGTCCCATAGTAGGGTCACCTCTGTCTCCCTTGACGTCTCCCTCCCATCCCCAACCCTTCCCTCCTCCCCTCCCAATAAACAACCAACACAGGTTTTTTTTGGAACACAACATTTTGAACTTTATTATATTTACAATGGATGGAGGGTTGTAGGGTGGGAGGCGGGAGGAGGATCTCAACTGGGAGGGGGGAGCTACTGCTGGGAGGAGTGGCCCCTGCGACTGCCTCTGGGGCAGGCTGTGTGGGAGCAGCCAGCACGGGGAGCTGGGCAGGAGGAGGGGGCATTGCGGGAGCAGGAGGGGCAGGAGGAGCAGGGGGCATTGCGAGAACAGGAGGGGCAGCAGCAGGAGGGGCAGGAGGAGGAGGGGGTGTTGTGGGAGCAGGAGGAGGAGGGGACATGGGCATTGCTATGGGAGGGATGGTGTGCTGGGGCTTGGGTGGCTGGGGGTGCTGCCGCTGCTGCAGGGCTTGAGGGTCCCCTGCTCCTACTTGGTCCTGCTGCAAGGAACAAAAGAAAGGATAGCGAGAACAGGAGGGGCAGCAGCAGGAGGGGCAGGAGGAGGAGGGGGTGTTGTGGGAGCAGGAGGAGGAGGGGACATGGGCATTGCTATGGGAGGGATGGTGTGCTGGGGCTTGGGTGGCTGGGGGTGCTGCCGCTGCTGCAGGGCTTGAGGGTCCCCTGCTCCTACTTGGTCCTGCTGCAAGGAACAAAAGAAAGGATAGGTCAGTAAGGCAGCCCGGCCACCGG